AAGCCACAAAAGTTAAAGCATCTGTGATCTACTGGTATAAAATGTTGAGTTCTGTTGTGTGCTGTTGTGTCCACTAAACAGCAGGTACGATCGAGTAGTTAGTTTTTCTCCTTTTTCCTCATGATGAGGAGGTGACAGCAGTAGATCATAGCAGAGTGTATATTACAGCGTAGACTAAAGCCGAGTGAGGACCGCGCCCCCGCCCTCCTCCCCTCGAGAAGAGAGAGTAGCAGAACCTCCGCCTGATAATCATTACGTTTTCAGTTCACTAACGTTGGGGAAAACGATCCAAACCATACAAGTAGCCCATCAGTTTAAAGCCCAGACTCTGCTCTTTCCAACAATATAAGTGTCACATCTCCACGTGAAAAATTCACAGAACAAGCAGCCAAGGAATAGTGAAAAAGGCTAAATTCTGGAACCATAAACAGGAACGTCTTTCAATTCAATTCAATTCAAAAATACTTTATTGATCCCAGAGGGAGATTAGGTAAACTTTCCTTGTTTTTATGGCTTTAATCCACTTTGGAGTGATTTTTTTCCACTTGGCTGGACCTGAACGTCTCCTGTGTTAATGTTGGTTCATGTAATATGATAATTCTGTACTGTGGAGATCATTAAGAGTCATTGTCGGGTGAAAATATCTTTCGCTAACACTGTGTTGACCGTGAACAGAAAGTGTTGGTTGTGGCATCAAGTGCTGGACAGGATGTCCGTGGCATATAGGATATTTAAATGCACAGTCTGAATGCTGAATGTCATCCTCTATTAGACCAAACCGTGTCCTGTAGACTTTCCTCTCCTGCCCTTCAGTCCTGTTGTCCCAGTCTGAGCAGCATGGATTCACAAGATGAAACCTCCACCATGGCATCTGTCATTCTCCCAAATTTAAATGAAATCAATACAAGATCTATTAAATCTTTTTTTTTTTACCCCAGCCCTACTAACACAACTACACCAGAAACTTCACATCCTCACAGCTCTGGAAGGGTCAAAGGTCACTCCTAACCTGAGGAGTTCAGACAGATTGAACCCTGTGGAGTCACATGACCCGTTACAGTTTACACATTGGTTCCTGATTCAGAAGCAGAAACTTTAGTTTTTAAATCCTGTTTGATCAGGTAAAACCTGAGCTCTGATGAAGCTAAAATAAAACCTACAGCAGGAACTTTATTTAAACACAGCAGTGATTAATGCTGACTCAGCACAGACCAGGCTCAGGCTGGTCCTGGTCCTGGTCCTGGTTCTGACAGACCATTAAAGGAACTGTTCTGGGTCCTCAGGTTCAACATGCTGGCCAAGACTCGTCAGACCTGGAAGACGGACGGGATGAACACGGTGGAGTACGAGGTGGTCTCCAGGGACTACCTGCCCCTCTACACCAACATCACCGTCAACATCGGCACCGAGTCCGGTCTGCACCCCGCCACGCCCCCGCCTGCCCCCAGAGCTGAGGAGAAACCTGCAGAGAAACCTGCGGACAACTCATCAGCTAAAGTCTGAGACGTCTCACGGAGGCTCCGCCTCCTGAAGGAGCCCCTGTGAGACGTCTCACGGAGGCTCCGCCTCCTGAAGGAGCCGCTGTGAGACGTCTCACGGTGGCTCCGCCTCCTGAAGGAGCC